TAATAATAATAATGCCTTTCAGGATTGAAGATAATGTTTTTGTATACAGTAGAAAGTGGCTTTCTGGGTGTTATATTGGAGTGGATAAAGGGAATATTGTATATTTTATAGTGGACAGAGGAAGAATAAGAATTCCCTTCTGAATTTTATTTCTCTCTCTTGTTTAACCTCTTTTCTATTTCCCCCCTTTGTTTCTCCTCTTTCTTTATCCCTTTCTTCCTCCCACATCTCTTTATGTTTTTATTGTATTCAGATCAAAATCTTAATTTGGACAAAAAAAAGAGAGGGGAAATATTTGATATTAAGTTTTGTATTTTTATCTATAAACCCTAATAGAAGTTTATTCAACAACCCTCTCCAAAAAATGAAACACTTTCCTGTTGACAGGTGGTGCCCATTTCTGTGTGCAATGACTACTGCCACCCTGGTAATCAGAAGAAAAGGAAGGAAGGGCATAAATTTTGTTGCTATGATTGTACTCCGTGCCCAGAAGGGAAGATTTCAAACCAGAATGGTAAATAACATTTTATTACAAGAATAGTAATGATTAATGAGTCACATTGATTTATAAGAATTTAAATACCATACTATCCTCCTTAGAGTGGCATGAAGATTTTGTATGCTGCCTTCCAGTAACGTCTTATAAAAACTTTCAAAAATAACTATTAATTAAATTGTTTTAAACAAAGCAATCATAAATTAAGCTCAAAAGGTAATTCAGATATTACATGACTACTAACTAGCTAAATTTCTGAAGATTGAAATAAACAGGAATGATAACTTTTACGTAAGCGGCAAAGGACACCAATGAAATATCATTGGTATTTGATCAAATGAATTGACAATTTTTCAGACATGACTGACTGCTTCAGATGCCCAGAAGATCAGTATGCGAACAAGAAGAAAAATAGATGCATTCCCAAATTAAAAACCTTTCTTTCTTATACGGATCCTGTAGGGATCAGCTTAACCACAGTTGCAGCTGCTTTTTCCCTGATCACAATGTTGGTGCTAGGAACTTTTATCCAACACAAAGACACTCCCATTGTCAAAGCCAACAACAGGGATCTCACCTACGCTCTCCTCATTGCCCTTCTACTCTGCTTCCTCTCATCCTTTCTATTCATTGGACACCCTGGCAAAATGACCTGTCTTCTTCGACAACCAACTTTTGGCATCATCTTCTCCGTGGCTGTTTCTTGTGTGTTGGCCAAAACCATCACTGTAGTTGCAGCTTTCATGGCCACCAAGCCTGGATCCAGTATGAGGAAATGGATAGGAAAAAGTCTGACCAACACAATTGTCCTTTCCTGCTCCCTCATTCAAGTGAGCATTTGTAGTGGCTGGTTGATGATCTCTCCCCCGTTCCCAGCTGTAGACATGCACTCGCTAACAGAAGAAACCATTGTGCAATGTAATGAAGGCTCAGTGGCCATGTTTTACTGTGTCCTGGGCTACATGGGCCTCCTGGCCATTGCCAGCTTCATTGTGGCATTTGCAGCTCGCAAACTACCAGACAGTTTCAATGAAGCCAAGTTCATTACCTTCAGCATGTTGCTGTTCTGCAGTGTTTGGCTGTCTTTTGTCCCATCATACCTGAGCACCAAAGGGAAATCCATGGTGGTGGTGGAGATCTTCTCCATCTTGTCCTCCAGTGCTGGATTGTTGGGCTGCATCTTTGTCCCTAAATGTTACATCATTGTTCTGAAGCCTGAGCTGAACATCAGGGAGCAACTAATAAGGAGAAAGATGTAAATTGTACCTTATTTTTTTATTTGATTGTACTGTTATAAAGGAGTTTGGTATAAAGTTGTTACTACAGTGGTACCTCTGGTTACGAACGTAATTCGTTCCAGAGGTCTATTCTTAACCTGAATCCATTCTTAACCTGAGGTACCACTTTATCTAATGGGGCCTCCTGCTGTCACTGCGCCGCCATCATGCAATTTCTGTTCTCATCCTGAGGCCAAGTTCTACTTCCGAGTTAGCAGAGTCTGTAACCGAAGTGTTTGTAACCTGAGGTGTTTGTAACCCAAGGTACCACTGTATAAGTACCTCTAGTCTATAACTTTTTTGTGCATATACAAGCATATACTAAAAAGAGAGAGGAGAGGAGGAGGAGGAGAAAGAGGAAGCACCTGGGGGGCGACAGCAGATGGTCACAGTGTCTTTAGAAAGTATTCCAGTCCCCCCCCCCCAATCTCCCAGAACCTGGCAAGTCTTGAAAGTAGGAGATCAAAGAGCTCAAAGGCAGAGGGCAGTTGTCAGCACCCAAGGAGGTGCTGAGAATGATGAATGAGGAAATGGGAGAGACGGTGGGTGGAGATTCATTCCGGACAACATCATAATCCAAGAGGTTGGGTTCTAAAGCTTCTCTCTGTAAATACTGAATAAAAAGTGGACAGTTAGAAACATTTCTTTGTGTTTGTATGTTCCTGGACAACCAGTTGTGGGAGTTGCTGGCAGCAGCCTGACATCAACTGCTACTAAGATGCAGACAAAACGGAATTTTGCAGCAGAGGACACTTCCTACTGCAAGATGATGTTTCTGTGGAAATGTGCCTTCAAATAAACTCATTACCCAGCATTGTGACACCAAGTGATTGGTAGGTGGGGCCCTTCAGATGCTGAGAAACTGCAGCTCCCTTTATAGGGAGTTATAGGTCAGCAAAATTTGGTGGGCCAAATGATCCGCACCACCTGCTTTATACAACAAGTAAATGATATTTAAATTAAAACACTTGCATGTAGAATACCGATACTAAAAATATTGCTTTATTTCAATATATATATACATATGCTACAAAATTTAGTGATACAAATATCTTTCAATTGTTTTATGATAGAATGTTCTTCAAAGGAGAGATGGAGCATAAATATTGCTATCTTTTTGGTACTAAGTCAGTCTTTTCTTGCTGATAAACTGAAGTTGGCACCCACGTCATTAATAAGTTTGCCACATCTCTTCAATTCAATAGCTTTTATTTATTTGCTGCCCACAGTCAGGCTAACACCCCCCACCCCCCACCCCCATGAATACAGCAACAGCTTCTGTTGGTTGACGCAGGTGTTTTTAAACTATTGCTGATCTGCAATGAAAAATGTTGACTTGGATTCCTTCAGAAACATTGGACTAGGCAGTGGCCATAATCTCAAAATGTGGTGCTACTGTTTGCATCCTAAAGCCAATGGCTTCATTCTGAGTTTCCTGTTGGTGTTTGCTCACTATGGAAAATTGTACCTGCCACTTTTTGTGTCTCTAAGGGGCAGAGGAGAGGAATGGTGGTTGTGGGGAGGGGGGGAAGTCACTCAGAGCCAAACTCTGAAGCAATAATCCCCCCAGATGCACACACATTTATCCAAATCACTGTAATTGGTGCACCTGATCAACCCTCCAGAGACTTTCTAGGCAAGCCTGAAAGTGGTTATAAATAAACCTATGTGCTATGGAAAGCTAGGGTAGGGGCAAGAGGTAGGCAGGGCGAGGTTAATTTAATTTGTAACACCATAATCTCTGTTAGTACTCGAGTCATGCATTTGTAACCCTTGGAACCCAAGATGCAGCTCCGAGATATCAAAGAGCTGTACTGGAAGAAACATGCATGATCCAATGTGGACTCTTCAAGGGCAGCTACTATTGATGGATGGACACAGTAGAGTTTGTATTTAGAGAAAAACTTGGGTCTCAGGATGTTGTGTCTATTTGTGCTCTTGTTTCTAATGCCTGCTGTTGTGTGTAAAACACCCAAGTGTCTGAAGAATAATCCTTTTCCTGTTCCACATGAGTGGTACCAGCCAGGGGACCTCATCATTGGTGGGATCGCTTCTCAGATCTGTTATGTTTTCTATGAAGTTTTCTTCAGTGAACAACCAGCAAAGAATTTGTTTGATGTTACATAGTAAGAGCTTCTCTACCTCCTGCTCCAGCACCAATCCACATCCATTTTCCTTTCGGCTCATGTCACTTAAGTTGGGGGCTGTCTCAACACTCACATTTATTAGCATGCTATTAGCTGCCATGCAAGACTTTGCCCCCAGAAGTGTAAGATAATAAATAATCCTTCAAGTAAAAACAAACAGGGAATCCCTTAAACAATTGAAAACAATCCAACTGATGCACCCCAGGACACTCCCCATTTTTAACTCCTTTCTGATTCTTGTGCAGTCTGCTAAGTGGCAGGACTGTTGTTCACTTCATAATGCTTTCTGTGTTGTAAAGGGATGGGTACAGCTATTGGTTGTGGAGGTTCATGAAAATGAAAATAAATGACTCAATAGAGTATAATGGGGAAGAAATGCATAACATAAAGCTAGAGATGTGCCAAATCAGCTTTCATCCCCTTTTAAAAATTGCTGTGTTTTTGGCCTCTTTTTCACAGTGTGTTAAAGTTTCAATGTTTGGGGGGGCTTGAGGTTACCTTTGGTGGCTGACATCGGTGAGGGTGTTTTTCTTTACATTATACATAGACCCTGGAGATAGAAAGCCTCGTCGTGCATATTGCATCAAAGTTTCTAGCTGTTTTGGAAATGCCTTTCCTGTAGTTGCTGGGGATTAAACTTGGGATCTTCTGCATGAAAATCAGATGCTCTGCTACAGAGCTATGCCCTTCTCCCAACTGTCTAGAACACATAAGCCCCACTGACTCCAATGGCACTTATTTCCAGTTAAGCAAGTATGGGATTGCAGTTTTCATGGTCTAGACCAAGCTTCTTCTGATTATTAAATGGTCACATACTTAAAGAGAAACAGAGGTGATTTATTGTTTTGACTAAATGAACTGAGAAGGTCAAACAAAAAGATGAACAGAAGGTAAAGTGTAACTACTACGCAAAATAGAAGTGCTATCACCCACCATTCATTTTTGACTGTATGGTGTTTATTAGCTTAGAAACGTTAATGATAAACTAAATACTTTGATTTTGGTCCAAAGCAGTTTGAGACAGAAGAGAATTGATATTGTGGTACATTTTGTTTCTAAAAGATTAACTTTATTTGCAGCATGATAACCAAATTCTACCAGCACATCCTTGTCTTGGCATTTGCTGAGAAAGAAATCAATGAGAACCCAAACATCTTGCCCAATGTCACACTTGGCTTCCACATCTATGATAGCTATTATGATGCAAGGATGACCTATCGGACCACGCTGGACCTGCTCTTCAAATCAAACAGCTTTGTCCCCAACTACAAATGTGACACCCAGAAAAACCTCCTAGCTACTATTGGGGGACTTGGCTCTGACACTTCCTTCCACATGGCAGATGCGTTGAGAATCTACAAGATCCCACAGGTAAGATGTATGAACAAGGGCATCAGGATTTAATTTTTGCTTCTTCCATGGATTTCTGTCCATGCATTTCAGTTGAATACAAACCTAAATCTTAATCTCATGTTTCCCATCTATACAACCAATCTGTCCAAATCCCAAATCAAAATATGCAGTTGGAAAAAAAGAAGCTTAAATATGCCCTGGCTGGAATAGTCCTTGAATTTAATCTATAAATTGACTGAAAAAATGTTTGTTGAAAGAAACTCGCATAGTCACAGAATGAATGCTCTTCACATAACTTGGCAATATCTGTACATTTTTTCTCAGCTCACATATGGTTCGTTTCCCCCAGAGGAGAGGGATTCAAGTCAGGTTCCTTCTTTTTACCGCATGGTGCCTAATGAAGTCCACCAGTACATGGGTATTATCAGTTTGCTTAAGCATTTTGGATGGACGTGGGTTGGACTATTTGCTGTGAATGATAACAGTGGGGAATATTTCCTCAAGACTCTGGAGCCCCTGCTTTCTCAGAATGGAATTTGTTCAGCCTTCACACAAAGAATCCCAAAACTACTCTATTTTGATAAGTTGGATGAAATGTATGATTTAGCCTCAAATATGTATGCACTATTTATGGATGCTAAAGCCACAACATTTATCGTTTATGGAGAATCTCAGACAATTACAGGGCTGAGAGCTATTATATTTATGCGAGATCCTACAAATAAGGAAAAGGCATCACTTAAGAAGGTGTGGATTTTGACAGCCCAGACTGACTTCATATCTATGGGTCTTCTTAAGGTTTGGAATGTTCTGCTCTTCCAAGGTTCCATTGCCCTCACAATTCACTCACAAAAACTTCTAGCATTCCAAGATTTTCTTCAAAACATAAAGCCTTCTTGGACTAAGGGAAATGGTTTTTCCAAAGTCTTCTGGGAGCAAGCATTTGACTGTATATTTCCAAATCTTGATGCACCAATGGAGGTCAATGACCTGTGTACTGGGGAGGAGAGGCTGCAGAGACTTCCCGGGTCTCATTTTGAAATGAGTATGACTGGCCACAGTTACTGCATTTATAATGCTGTCTATGTTGTGGCTCATGCTTTGCATGCACTTTATTCATCTAGATCCAAACAGAGAGCAAATGAGAGCAGTAAAAGACTTAAATTTCAAGATTTCCAGCCTTGGCAGGTAATGTTTTGAAAATGAAGACCAACAAAATATATTATTATTCCAATAAACAGATTAGTGCAACAAATGACTGTATCACAATTTTCATCCACAAGTACAGGTGTGATGCCATTGCAAAGATTTATGTGTGCATTTTAACTTGTCTACATTTTGATTGAAATTTTGTTTTGTGTTCAGTGAATGCATGATAGAGTTCCTATCTGTTGTGTCAAAAGAGCTGATTTTATACACTTTGTCTTTGTTAAATTAAGCTACATAGCTATACTTAAATAATACTAATAAAGTAGGGTGTTGGTAAATCATGACATTTTGTTCAAGGTCTGCATTACATTCTTTTCCCATTATGTTTCCCTCCTGCTCTTTCAATTAGCTCCACCATTTTATCCATGCCATTTCCTTTAACAACTCAGTTGGAGAAACAGTGTCCTTTACTGATAACAGAGAAATGCAAGGTGGATTTGACATTATGAACATGATCACATTCCCAAATAAATCTTTCATCCGTTTGAAAATAGGATGGGTGAATCCTAATGCTCTTGATGGAAAAGAATTCAACCTTCATGAGGACATAATTGTGTGGCACAATGGTTTTAACCAGGTCTGAATTTTGGGGTATTCTTGTGGGCTCAAAATAGCTATCATTCTTCTCTTGGCCAGGGTCATGGCAAGAATCTGGATATCTAGCTGTTTGTAACTATGCTATGGTCTTAATTGAAATGAACTTCTAATATTTACTGTGCCATATTTATATATGGCAGGATTCCAGATGATCCAGATAAAATTGACTCCTGAACCAAAAATGGATGCGTATCTGTTTACGTTGAAAAGTAGCCATAGATCAGTTGAAGATTCCACATCAATTTTTTTCTTGTCTAAGTGAACCTCATCTGTATTTCTAGAGAGCTAATATTGCTCCCCCTTGAAAGTATATTTGTGAGAGGTGCCAGAAGCCAGGAAAGTATTCACTTCTGGTTTATATCCCTGAGGTCCACCAGTACAGGGGAGCCATGTCAATGTAGGGCTGAAAACCCTAAGCATTTCTATATTGCACCACTAGTCTGATCCCAGTCTGGGTGGGGCAAGAAGCTTATCAAGTGTGCACTTCCAGCTCAGTCCTTAGCCTTGTCCTTGTGCTTATGCTGTGAAGGAGATGGTTTAGGATATAAAATTCCTTCCACCTTCCTCTTCGCCTATTCCTCTTCAGATCACTCCCAGGGTGCTGGTTGGCACAGTTGGGACAAGTAGGAACTTTGTTATGGGATGCGGGTGGCGCTGTGGGTTAAACCACTGAGCCTAGGACTTGCTGATCAGAAGGTCGGTGGTTCAAATTCCCGGGACGGGGTGAGCTCCTGTTGCTCGGTCCCTGCTCCTGCCAACCTAGCAGTTTGAAAGCACGGCAAAGTGCAAGTAGATAAATAGGTACTGCTCTGGCGGGAAGGTAAACGGCGTTTCCATGTGCTGTTCTGGTTTGCCAGAAGCGGCTTTGTCATGCTGGCTACATGACCCGGAAGCTGTACACTGGCTCCCTCGGCCAATAAAGCGAAATGAGTGCTGCAACCCCAGAGTCGGCCACGACTGGACCTAATAGTCAGGGGTCCCTTTACCCTTACTAGGAACTTTGTGTTTGGTGGACCAGGGATAGCCTGAGTGACCTTTTCCACCCACTTCCTACTCCTACCCAGCAGTGCCACATAAATGCAGTTACTGCTGGCAGACATGTAATTGTAAGAATTGGCTTTCTCATTACTTGCCAGGTATGTGCAAAAAAATGAAATAAATGTAGAGATTGTAAAAAATGTTGAGTATCCTGAGCTATTCCTCAGGTGAACTCTGATTCCAGAAATGAGTACACAGGATTCTGTGACCCATGGAGCAGAGTATGGCTGACTTTTTAGGTTAACGTGTGTCATTTGCTTAGAGTTTGAGGCTTCAGACAGGGTGTGAATCTTTCCCCCCATTATTCAAACCCCAATATTTTTGTGATGAGTGGCCCACTAACATATTTAAATTCAATGAATGAATATTTTTTTTGGAAAAAAACATTTTCCCTTCTGAAATTATTTCCTGTTTTTGGATAGATGATGCCCGTCTCTATATGCAGTGAATCCTGCCACCCTGGTAATCAGAAGAAAATGATGGAAGGACAGAAATTTTGCTGCTACGATTGTACTCCATGTCTAGAGGGGAAGATTTCAAACCAGAATGGTACGTGACATTTCTTGTCATACAAGATTGGTAAAAAAATATTCTTTCAGTATTGTGCATGTAGTCACACTATCCTGCTTGGAGTAGTGTGAAAATTTTTCTGCTGCTTTCCATTAATTTTTTAATGGTTCCTCATCATCCTGGGGGGAAAGTGACAAGTGGGGTGCCGTGGGGTTCTGTCCTGGGCCCGTTGTTGTTCAACGTCTTTTATAAATGACTTGGATGAAAGAATTGAGGGGATGCTCATCAAATTTGCAGATGACACCAAACCGGGAGGGGTAGCTAATGCCACAGAAGACAGAATCAGATTTCAAAATGACCTTAACAGATTGGAGAACTGGGCGCAAGCTAACAAAATGAATTTCAATAGGGACAAATGTAGGATTCTGCACTTAGGCAGCGCTTGTTAAAATTGTATTCCATTTGATGGTTGGGATGCACTCAACACCCTTCAGAGCTTGCCAGGGTTGGACCATAGGGTGTGGCAAAACCAGAATCCACACACCCGCTAAGCAAACATGGTAAGGATTTAGGCAAGGCTGAATCCAATCCAAACTAGAGTCATGTCTTGATCACTGCCACAAACTACTGTGTCCCTAAATAGGGAGTCACCTACCACCACCACCCATCCCTTCCTCCTCGGGGAGTGGCAGAAATTATTCTATACACTGTAACTTCCAAAGACACCTCAGAGCATTCTAAGTTCTGCAACTGCTGTTCTTGGTCCTCTGGCCCAAAATTGGGAAATATATTGGTAGCAGGATAGGAGTTGAGAGTTTCTAACCTGAGCATATTGTTTCTAACCCCTTCATTCACACCAATATAATGAATCCTCCCTTTTTGTCTACTGGAGTTTAGCTGGATGTTATTAGGATAGCTGACGATGACAGAAGCCTTGTAGCTCGAGTGCTTTCTACTCCTTCCTCTTCAGTTGCCTTTTCTAGACTGCAATTACATTATTGTCACACCCCCAAGCATCAAATGAAACCTAAAGTTCCAACCCCTCTGCCATCGTGGATCCATCTACCCCCTGCCTGCAGTGAGTACCACGTGGCCACTTAAAATGGTTTAAACAAACCTATGTCAGATTCGGCAGAAAACTCAAATGGTAATTCAGATATACAAAATGCTCTCTAATATTCAGAAGTGTAAGATTCACAGGAACAAAACACACACACAAATTGTCAAGGGAGTTTGTCATTCTTCCTTTTTTCAGACATGGATGACTGCTTCACGTGCCCAGAAGATCAGTATGCAAACAAGAAGAAAGATGGATGCATCCCTAAAACTATCAGCTTTCTTTCTTATGATGAACCTTTAGGGCTTAGCCTGGCCTCACTTGCTCTTTCTTTTTCCCTGATCACAACTTTGGTGCTTGCAACGTTTATTCAGCACAAAGACACTCCTATTGTCAAAGCCAACAACAGGGATCTCACCTATGCTCTCCTCATTGCCCTTCTGCTATGTTTCCTCTCATCTTTTCTATTCATTGGACACCCTGGCAAAGTGACCTGCCTTCTTCGACAACCCACTTTTGGCATCGTCTTCTCTGTGGCAGTTTCCTGTGTGTTGGCCAAAACCATCACCGTAGTTGTAGCTTTCATGGCCACCAAGCCTGGGTCCAGTATGAGGAAGTGGGTGGGAAAAAGACTGAGCAACTCCATTGTCCTTTCCGGCTCACTCATTCAAACAAGCATTTGTGCTGTGTGGTTGAAGAGGTTTCCCCCATTCCCTGCTCTAGACATGCACTCAGTAACAGAGGAAACCATTGTGCAATGTAATGAAGGCTCAGTGACCATGTTTTACTGTGTCCTGGGCTACATGGGCCTCCTGGCCATTGCCAGCTTCATTGTGGCATTTGCAGCTCGCAAATTACCAGACAGTTTCAATGAAGCCAAGTTCATTACTTTCAGCATGTTAATGTTCTGCAGTGTTTGGCTGTCTTTTTTCCCAACCTATCTGAGCACCAAAGGGAAATCCATGGTGTTGGTGGAGATCTTCTCCATCTTGTCCTCCAGTGCTGGGTTACTGGGCTGCATCTTTGCCCCTAAATGCTACATCATTGTGCTGAAACCTGAGCTTAACAGAAAGGAGCAACTAATAAGGAGAATGAAGTGAAGGTATTGACATGGACTCACAGAAATAAACAGCAGCTTGAATGTATTTCCTGATGGTTCTTTTGCTGGAGGAAAGTCCCCTTCCCAATAGCTGAAGGGAGGGATCTTTCCTGATACCCCTCCCACTGCTTTTGGAAGCCTTATAAGAAGCTGCTGAAGGAGCAGGACTGTTAGCAATGTTTCTAAGAGCAAGGAAAATCTGCTGTTTCCAGATTCTGTAAGGTTGCTAATGAAGCATTTAATTTATAGTACAGAAATGTTGTTGTTTTTGTAGGTTGTTACATATGCTATTACAACATTGTTCTTTTAATTTATAATAAAATTATTCTCAACTCATTTTGAAACATATCCCCTCTCTCTTTTTGTAAGCCACGTGATTACATTTTGTGGAAAGGTGGCACAGAAATGAAATGATGATGATGGGGAATGGGAGCACATCTTGCTACCATTGGAACAGGTGCTAAAATAGATGGGGGAAGTGCTGCTTATTAAGAAAGCTTTTGTTCGATATGTCCCTTCAAAAGGTGCATCACCATAAAATCTGCTGACTGACATATTAATGGTCCCATTCACTTATCAATAATTTCGCCCATGTAATAATAATAATAATAATAATAATAATAATAATAATAATAATAATGTGTTATTTATATCCCGCCCTCCCCAGCTGAAGCTGGGCTCAGAGCAGCTAACAATAATAAAGTAGCACAACATTCTAAAATCAATTCAAAATCAAATTAATGGCAACCATTAGGCTAGAGTTCTATGAGGATTACCAAAGGAGGGGGTCAGATTGTGCCTTGGCCAAAGGCCTGGTGGAACAGCTCCGTCTTGCAGGCCCTGCGGAAAGATGTCAAGTCCCGCAGGGCCCTAGTCTCTTGTGACAGAGCGTTCCACCAGATTGGGGCCACGGCCGAAAAAGCCCTGGCTCTGGTTGAAGCCAGCTGAACCTCCCTGTGACCCAGGACCTCCAAGATGTAGGGTAGTGCAGATGGAGATGTGGCCACCTGGAGGGGAACAATTCTTGAGCACTGTCAAGCACAACAACCCCTTTAAAAAAATAAATAAAAATGTGGTTTGTGGTTAGAACAGTAATTGGGAAATAAGGAAACTGTGGAATGAGAATGTGTGAATTGGAAAGTCTGGAACGAATGAATGATGGCCTTTATTTTGTATTGCCTTATTAGATTATATTTGGACCTCAGAACTCTCTACAGGTTATATCGTTTCCTAACTCTGCTTGATTTCAGGGTGGGGTTTTTTGGTTGTCTGGAATTTCCCTGAACTTGGATAATGCCTCTTGGTGATCAGAGAGGGGTCTATGTATGAGTGTAGAAACTAGCCCCCATGCAGTAGTAAAATTTACATTATACACTTTCACCTTCGGTCCCACTCACAAGTGAAATATGGCCTTCAGAAGCTCACTCAGAAGGGAATTCAGTCTTCAGGCTGAAAAAGATTGCTCAGCCCTCCAATACAGGAATATTCTCTGTTAGTTCATGCAAATGAGTCAAACAACCGGTTTTTAAACTATAGTCTTGAGAACTATAGTCAGAGAAGTCTTGAACCCCATTCCCTTGGAGAGAACTGGAGCTGGGAAGTGGCCATTATCTCAAAATTCTGCACTTCTCCTTGGTAATGACTTCACTCTGAGTTTCCTGTTGGTCTGTCACGTTTTCTGACTCTAAGGTGCAGAAGAGACTTGTGGTTAGAAATGGGAGTTGAAAAACAAACAAAAACCAAAGTGCCACTTAGACACCAAAACTCAGAGGAAGTAATTAATGATCTTACCCTGAAATTACTCAAGTGACTTCAATTTCTTCACCAGGTCAAACCTCCAGGTGCTTTCTAGGAGGAAATAGAAAAAGATCAATAAGAAAGTCTGAAAATGGTTATAAATAATTTCATGTGCTATGGAGAACAAGGGTAGAGGCAAGTGGCAGGCAGGGCTTAGTCAGTGTAATTTCTGGCATTATAATCTCTGTTAGTACTCAAGAGATGCAATGCTTTAATTAAATACAGCTCGTAATGTCTCTCATAAGAGTGGCTTGACTGAGCCATGTATCATTCACTGTAGCCTATTCAAACGTAGCTACTATGGATGCACAAAGCAGAATCTGCACTCAGAGAGAAGCTAGGCTGCCAGGATGTTGCTGCTATTGTTGTTGCTGTTTCTAATACCCCCTGTTTCTAATAGCTCTAATTCTATCTGGTGCCCCAGGAATAATCCTTTCCCTGTTCCACATGAGTGGTACCAGCCGGGTGACCTCATAATTGGCGGGATTGCCTCTCAGAGCTATTACATTTTCTATGAAGTTTTATTCAAGGAACACCCATCACAGAACCTGTTTGATGTTTCATAGTAAGAATCTTCCATTCCCCCTCTGGATTGCTTTCCCCTTTGTCTCATGCCTATCTGACAGGAATCTTGGGGAGAGGGGCTATCTTATCATCTGCATTAGCAAGCTACATCAGGGGTCACTTTTTGGCTGAAAGGTGGATTAAAAAAAGATGTTTCCATTGTTTAAAAGCTACCAGCTCACAAAGAATGATTTGAATAACTGTCAAAAATTCTCCTGTTTATACATCTCTGAGAGACCCATTGGTTTCAGTCACCTCCTGAATCTTTCACAACCTAAGCTTCTAGACGGGAAATACAATTTTTCTTCTCACATAATAAATACTTTCAATTTTGTAAATGAATATTTTATTTTATTTACTCCAAGTGTATTCACAACTGCTCTGGAGCATGAATATTGCGAGGAGCAAGGAAGAGAAGGGTGAAACTGAAAATAAATTTTAAAAATCTTAAATGGTGGGGAAATTATGTTTTATTAGCTCATTTTCAAGTTGATTGAAAGTTTCAATGTGTGCTGGGTTGAGCTTACGTCTTGGGTGTGATGTTGCTGACATTCCTTAGGGTACTTTTCTCTCCATTAAACATTTCTTCTCCATGGGAGAAGTTACATGGTGGTGAAACTCCCTGGGCTGTAATCAAAGTTCCATTACTAGGTCTATTTGGAGTTATCTGTGGATGGTTGAGTTGCACTGAGGCAAACAGGGATTGCTAAGGTTCAGGTTGGACAGAGAGACCAAAGGCTGTTAGGATGGGACATTAGGTCAGAAAGAAAGGCAGGCATTGGGCAGGAAAACCTGAGACAAATTTTACCACCAGCTGTGTCTTCCAGTGAGAAGATAAATTCAGTGCTACCTGATTCCCCTTTCTGTCTGATGCCTCACAGGATCAATGACTGTGCTTGACTACTGAGGACTGCACACCTCAAACCTGTGATTCTGATTTACAAGCATCTTGCCTAACCCTACTCCAACTTTATACAGAAACGTAAGCCCCACTGAATTCAATGGGACTTTCATATAAGGAAGAATTAGTGTCACGAGCGTGGTTCTTTAGAAATAGGATATGATCACCTTCGCAAGGAGAAACAGAAAGTTTGCTTTTGTTTTCTTTATCAACTGAGATGAGAAGGACAAGCAATAGATTAACAGCAGGTGTTTGAAAGTACTATACACAGCAGTAATGCCCTAATCAACCATGGGTTTTCTGTGATGGCATGGTGTTGATTAGTTTAGATGCATTAATCACAAATAAAACAATTTCCCTTCGGTTTGAAACAGAAGATGTCCAATATTGTAGTATATTCATATTTGTAATTAATTTGGTTTACTTGCAGTATGGTGCCTAAATTTTATCAGCATGTCCTTGCATTGGCATTTGGTGTGAAAGAAGTCAATGAGAATCCCAACATCTTGCCCAATATCACACTTGGCTTCCACATCTATGACAGCTATTATGATGCTAGGATGACCTACCGTACAACTCTAGACCTCCTCTTCAAGATGCATAGATTTGTCCCCAACTACAAATGTGACACACAGAAAAACCTCATAGCCATCATTGGAGGACTTGGCTATGATACGACTTTCCATATGGCAGATACATTAGGTCTCTACAAGATACCACAGGTAAGATGCATAAATGAGGATATGGGGTATCCCCCCCCTATATTTGGTTTTTATCCAATATTTGTTCTACACAGAGCAAATCTGTTCGGAAGTATTCTACTCAGTAGTTTACTCAGAGCTGACTCATCAAAATTAATGGACCTAGTTATGATCCTTGATTTAAACTTAAATTGGATATCAACTTACATTTTTCCACCATGCTCCCTGCACATTGCTTTTTCTCTGTTATTTTTAGGGATGTGAGACTGATCTGTTCAAATATTAAATCAAAATGTGCAATCAGAAATAAAGCTGAGAATAAGCCTTGACTGGAAGAGTTCTTGATTTAATTTATATATTACTTCAACATAGAACGAATCTTTGTTATGGTCATATACCAGCATAAGGAGGGAGTGGTACAATCATTTAAAATCTAGAAAAAAGTTTAAAAAACAACAACTAAAAAGTGTTCAATGTATATTTGTTCAATAAAATGTCATCTGGTGCAGGATGAATGCTTTCTGCTTAATTAGATTTTTTATTTTTATTTTTTTGTAAATTTTCTTTTAGTTTGCATATGGTTCATTTCCCCCAGTGGAGAGTGATACAAGTCAAGTTCCTTCTTTTTACCACATGGTGCCCAATGAAGCCCACCAGTACATGGGTATTATCAGTTTGCTTAAGCATTTTGGATGGATGTGGGTTGGACTTTTTGCTCTGAATGATAACAGTGGAGAACATTTTTTGCAAACCCTGGAGCCACTGCTTTCTCAGAATGGAATTTGTTCAGCCTTTGCACAAAGAATCCCAAAACAAGTCTATCTTGATGACTTGGATGAAATGCATGATATAGCCTTAAATATGCATGTACCGTTGACAGATAATAAGGTCACTGCATTTATTGTCTATGGAGAATCCCTAACAATTATAGCACTGAGAGCTCTTATATTTCTGCAATATCCTACAAATAAAGAAAACACATCATTTAAAAAGGTTTGGATTTTTACAGCACAGACTGATTTCATATCTATGGGTCTT